CTCGGGCGAGGCGCGCGCGAAGCCGTGCAGAGCGGCCTTCGCGAGCGGCAAGGTGGCTCGGTCACGAGGCGCAAGCCCCAAGCAGTACGCAGTGCCGTACACCGCGTACCGCGCCTTGGCCGGTGGCAAGCCGTCGAAGAACATGGCGTCCAGAAACTCGTCAAGCACCGCGCCCCACGAGGCCGCGCCAGTCGGCTCGCGCCCGTTCTGCCTCGCCCAGCGCCCGACCTCCGCGAACGACTCCTGGTAGTGCCGAGCTGTGGTAGGGCGGACGGCGGCGCGACGGCAGGCCCCGGGGGCCTCACCGCAGGCCTCACGACGGGCGTCGGCGCGGCGCCTGGCTGCGCGCCGAGCCGGCGCAGGCGGCACGATGGGCACGGAAGTCCGCCAGCTCGTCCCGCCAGGGTTTCCCGTCCCAGTACTTGACCGCCCCCTCCCAGCCGAGCCGGGCGGCACGCTCGAGGCGCGGGGCCGCCCCAGCGCGCCCATCTGGACGCAGGGCCTCTGAGCGTGAGCGAGGGCCCCCGGAAGCCTCGGAGAGGCCCCCAAAAGGACAGCTCTCGCACCGCAGGTCGAGAGCTGTCCAGGAGCTCCGCGGTTCTCTCCGGCGCGCGGCGCGGCAACTGCGGAGTTCGAGGGCCTCGGGAGGCCCCGGGAGGCCCCCGGGAGCGTCAAGAGGCCCGAACACAGCCACAAGACAGCCCCGAGGCAGCCGCAGAGGGCCGCCCCCAAAGTTCCCCGAATAATTTCCCCACTCGGGGACGCCCGAAATGGGCACGGAAAAAATGGCGACGATGCCCAGCAACAAAAATCTTGTCCAAAATCGACAGCGGCCGCTGTTGGGCAAGCGAACTTGTGCCTCAAGAGGACAACGCCCGCGACGATGCAGACAGCGAGTCCTCTTCAAAAAGACCAGGAATTGCTGTCGGCCTTCGTTGGGACGCACAGAGACATACTAATACTATATATCCTCCTTGGAGGCGCGCGTCCGACCCGAATATACAGTACACTCATCTTGAAGTAGATCGTTTCCCGAGCGATGTGGCCAGAAAGCGCCCGCCACGACGCGTATACTAGAAGATTTCTCGGTGCGACCGTCGCCCCTGGGGGGGCGACGCACATGTAGTATAAGTATGTTGGTGTGACGACGATTCGTACCCTTTGTCTTCGTTGGGGGGACCGCGCAGTCCACTAGCGCGGCGGCACGGTCGCTCCACCTCTCTTCCCCACGGGCAGGGCGGCGCCGGCGATCCGCCAGCAGCGTTCTGCGACACAGAGGAGTGGGACAGTCGCCTGACGGCACGTGGCAGAAGCTGTCTGCCAGGTCGCGCATGACGCTGATGATGGCCCACCCACCACACCGAGCGGTCGTGATCAAATTCCTGGCCAGCTCCAATTCCGCGTGGTTGGCCTAGGGTAGGAGAGGAGGACGGAGGATGAGGAGGGGCTTGGAAACCCCAGGCGGCTCGAGCAACCTACCCCCCCTACTGCCACATGCACACACACACACACACCTTGTGGCGCGCGTTTGTTGTGGGCCAGGCCGATCCTTGCTCTCGAGCGTCTGGAGGGTCAGGTTCCGCCTCTTCTCGATCGTCACCTGAAGGATGAAAATGATCCATTCGAAAGACCCAACCATAAGCGAGTGGTGCGCCGAAATGGAGTGGAAACCGCATGCGGACCTGCCGCTGGGGCCTTCGATGGAGCTCCCTGTGGAGCCACGAAACGTGTGAGGGGTGCGCCGACATGGGGGGGTGGAACCGCCCGCATGCGGGCGCTGGCGCTGGGGTTTCGGTGGAGCTCCCTATGGGGCCACGAAACGTGTAAGGAGTTCGCCGAAATGGTGGGTGGAACCGCATGCGGGCGCTGCCTCTGGGGCCTTCGGTGGGGCTTCCTACGGAGCCACGATTTAAGGGGTGCACTGAAATGAGGGTGGAACCGCATGCGGACGCTGCCACTGGGGCCTTCGGTGGAGCTCCCTGTTTGGCCACGAAACGTCTGAGGGGTGCACCGAAATGGGGGTGGAACCGCATGCGGGCACTGCCACTGGGGCCCTCGGTGGAGCCCCCATATGGGGCCACAAAACGTGTGAAGGAGCCCCGAAAGTGGGGGGGGAACCGCATGCGGGCGATGCCCCTGGGCCTTCGGTGGAGCTCCCTGTATGGGGTCACGAATCGTGTGAAGGCTATGTCGAGACAGTGACACGCGGAGGGTAAAGGCAGGGATGGGAGGGAGAGTGCGGGGCGCTGTCTCTTCAAAACGAGGACCCAACATCACAGGATGGTTGGGAAAAAAACTGACGGATTCTAAGATGCCCACTGCCTTCTCAGAAGGCAATCCCCCTCGCCCCACCTCCATGCGCGCGGTGCCAGCTTACACGGGAGGACGCAGGAGCCTTGCACAGTGGCTTATGCAGGCGAGGCCGAAAACACAATACATCGCGTGGAAACGAAAGCACTTACGCGCGATCAGACTAGGGCAACTTACGCGCGAATACCCGACCCCCCTTCGGTGAAGCTCCTTTGGGGGTCACGAAACGTGTGAGGGGTGTGCCGAAACAGCGACATGCGGAGGGCAAAGGAAGGGATGGGAGGAGGGAGGAGGGCAGCGGGAGGGAAGGAGGCGCCAGGCGCTGTCTCTTCAAAATGAAGACCTAGCACCATCGGACGGTTGAGAGAATAGCCTGGAGAAGGACCCAGCCAGATGTAGCTGTGAGTATCGTCTGCAGTGGATCTCCTTACGGGGCCACGAAGCGCGTGAAAGGTGTGCCGAAATGTGGCGGGGCCACCATGCGGGCGCTGCCACTGGGGCCTTCAAGCATCGCGAGGAAAATGAATGAAGGAGGGGGGCCAGCAGGAGCGGCCACGGGGGTCCTCGGTGGAGCTCCCTATGTGGCCACGGTGCGAGAGGTGTACCGAGATGGCAGGTGGGGCTGCTTGCGGGCGCTGCCACTAGAGCCTTAGCTGAGCTCCCTTTGGCATAGCCCTATGGGGCCACGGAGCATGTGAGGTGGTCGCCGAAATAGGAGGTGGGACCCCATGCGGGAGCTGCCACTGGGGCCTCCGGTGGAGCTCCCTATGGGCTCATGAAGCGTGTATGGGGCGCACTGAAGTTGGAGTTGAACCACTTGCGGACGCTGCCACTGGGGCCCTAGGTGGAGCTCCGCATGGGGCAACGAAGCATGTGAGGGGTGCGCCGAGAAGTGAGGGGTGGAACCGCATGCGGGCGCTGCCACTAGGGCCCTCGGTGGAGCTCTCTATGGGGCCACGAAACGTGTGAGTGTTGTGCCGAAAAGGTGCGTGTAGCTGCATGCGCGCGCTGCCAGTGGGGCCTTCGGTGGGGCTGCCTATGGGGTAACGAAACGTGTTAGGTGGGTCGCCGAAGTAGAAAGTGGAAATGCATGCGGGCGCTGCCACTGGGGCCCTAGGTGGAGCTCCCTATGGGGCTACGAAACAACGTGTGAGGGGTGCGCCGAAATTGGGGACGGAACCGCATGCGGGCGCCGCCACTGGGGCCCTCGGTGGAGCTCCCTTGGGCCACGAAACGTGTGAGGGGTGTGCCGAAATCGGGGTGGGACCACATGCGGGCCCTATGGGGCTACGAAACGTGTCAGGGGTGCACCGAAATCAAGGGTGGAACCGCATGAGAGCGCTGCAGCTTGGGCCTTCGGTGGAGCTCCCTGTATGGTGTCACGAATCGTGTGAGGGCTATGTCGAGACAGTGACACGCGGAGGGTAAAGGCAGGGATGGGATGGGAGGAGGAGAGGCGGAGGAGGGGGCAGCGGGATGAGGGAGAGTGCGGGGCGCTGTCTCTTCAAAACGAGGACCCAACACCACAGGATGGTTGGAAAAAAAACGAACGGATTCTAAGATGCCCACTGCCTTCTCAGAAGGCAATCCCCCTCGCCCAAACCCCTTGCGCGCGGTGCCAACTTACACTGGAGGACGCAGGGACCTTACACAGTAGTTTATGCAGGCTAGGCCGATAACACAGCACATCGCGTGCAAAAGAAAGCACCTACGCGCGATCAGACCAAGGCAACTGACGCGCGAATACCCGACCACCTTCCCTCCGAAAACCCCCACCCTCCTCTCCAGAACCCCGACCCCCATCCCCACTCCCTGAAGCTGGGCGGGGGGGGGGTTCGAGCCCCTCCCCACATCTCGACGCCGGAAAACGCTTCGTCGTCGTCGTCGTCGTCGTCGTCGTCGTCGTCGTCGTCGTCGTCGTCGTCGTCGTCGTCGTCGTCGTCGTCGCCCTCGTCGACATCGTCGTCGTCGTCGTCGTCGTCGTCGTCGTCGTCGTCGCCGTCGCCGTCGCCGGAGGGAACCCATCCCCAATGTCGCTCTTCGGTGCGGGCCGGCTCAGGACGGCCCTGGAGCCCTGAAACCCGGCCCCCCAGGAGCCAGAATCCCAGAGTGGCTGCCCGCCGTGATCTGTCTGCGCAGATGTAGCCAGGGGGGGGGGGGCGGGAGCGGGAGAGAGGAGGAGGAGCGGGAGAGAGGAGGAGGAGGAGGAGGAGGAGGAGGAGGAGGAGGAGGAGGAGGAGGCACAGCTGCACTGGCACTCGCGTCGGCATGTGACCACAAGTGCCCCCGCGAATTCGCGCCGGAGGAGCAGGGCGGAGGAGCCTGCGCACGTCACGAGATGAAGGAGAAGAGCCGGGGCAGAGAAGCCTGCGCACGTCACGGCTTCTGTGCACGGAGGGGGGAGAGCCCGGCCGCGGGAGGGCCGGGAATTCAGACGGAGCGTAGCCGCAACGGCCGCACCTCAGGCGCGCTGTTCCCGCAGGCGGCCTGTGCGCGGGGGCCCGACGGCCAGGCTGCCCCCTACTGGGGCAACGGCGCCCACCGAAGGGCGCGGAAACAAACAAGGCCTCTCTGTGGCCAAGCTGCCGTCCTGAAAAGGGCTCGGGAGCGGCTGCTCCCCGGGCGCCCAGAGCCCTGAACATTCAGGGAAGCCCGTCTGGTGGCAGCCGGGAGCCGTATCGGAGCTGCCCTCAGATGCGAAAGAGCCCCCTCTGGTCCGACGCCGACGAGGAGCTGTCGGCTGGCACGACGTGCCAGCTGTAGGCCGCCACGAGGGGCATCCGGAACGCCGGAAACTGCTGCACAACCTCGTCGGCCGGCAGGGTCGCCAAGTACCCCTCCGTGTGCCCAGACAGAACCGCGACCGGCGCCATGCCCTCGAATCCGCCACCGTGCCACGCGGCACTGAGAAGAATGCCCTCAGGCCCGACAGAATCCTCAAGACTGAGCCCCAGCCGCCCCCTCTCGGCCCAGATGTTTTCGGGGGACCTCTCATCCAGCTCCCTTCTTCCCCCAGAGAATGCTGCAAGGAGTCTGCAGTGCTTTTGGAGAACCCACCTCTGCAACACCTACTGCGGAACATGTGCCGTGTCAGCGTGCCGTGCCGCGTCCGCGTGCCGCGTCCTGCCGTGCTGCGCCTGAGCTCCACAACTGGAATAACGTGCGATGCCGTGCCGTGCCCGCGTGCCAGTTCGCCGCGCCGTGCCGCGCCGTGCCCAAGTTCTCGAGTGCAGAAAATAATGCGCCATGCGTGCCCACGCGCAAGGGGCGCGCCGCGTCGTGCCACGCACGGTGCCGTGCCATGCCCGGGTGCTGCGCCGTACCGCGCCGCACCCTGCCGTCCCGTCCCGTGCCGTGCACGCGCCGTGCCTCGTCTTCAGAATGTCCCCCAAAAAAAGTGCCCGTCCGCGTGCCGCGCCGTGTCGTGCGGGCATGCGCCATGTCGTGCCCGCATGCCGTGCCGTGCCCGTACCGTCCCTGGTCTTCAGAAGGCGAAACAGTTGCCGCCCGCATGGCATGTCGCGCCCTGGGCCAAGGCAACAAGCCCCGAATGGGAAAAAATACCGCAATGCCGTGTCCGCGCGGCGTGCCATGCCCGCGCCTGGCCTGGTATTCAGAATGCAAATGTAAAATTGCCGTCCGTGTGCTGCGCCGTGCCGTGCCGTGCCGTGCAGCGTGCCGTGCCCGTGTCGTGCCAAGTCCTCAGAACTCACAATATGCAGCCCGCGAGCCGTGTCGCGCCGCGTGCCCAGTCACCAGGGTCAAAATCCAGAAAATTGTCGCCCACGTGCCGGGCCGGGCCGGGCCCGCGTGCGCCGTGCCCCCGTGCCCTGCCCACGTGCTCTGCCCGCGTGACGTGCCGTGTCGTGCTCGGTGGCTTGGCAGCAGGAAACAAAAGAAACTCGCTGTGGGAATCCAAGATGTGAAACATGCGCCGCCCGAAAGCTGTGCCGCGCCCTCGTGCCGTGCCGTGAGCGCGCGAAAACACAAGCGTGTTGTGCCGTGCAATGCCGTGCCGTGCCCGCCCGCCGTGCCCTGCGCGCGCCGTGCCATGCGCAAGCCGTGCCTGAGGTCTGGCGTGCCGTGGCGTGCGCATGCCGCGCCTGGGTTCCGGGATGCAAGAACATTCCGTGCCGCACCGTGCCGTGCCGCGCCGTGCCCGCGTGCCCCGCCGTGCGCGCGCCAGGCCGCGGCCGCATGCAGTGCCGTGCGCAGGCCGTGCACCGCGCCGTGCACGCTCGCCGTGACGTGCGCGTGCCGCGCCAGGGCTCTAGGATGCGAAGCGCCGCGCCGCGCCGCGCCGTGCCGCGCGCGCCGTGCCACGCGCGTGCCGCGCCGTGCCCGCGTGCCGCGCCGTGCGCGCGACGTGCCTAGATGCGAGTATGCGAGACGCGAGGTGTGCCGTATCGCGCCCAGTGTGCCGTGGCGCCGCGCGCGCGCGCCGTGCCCGCGTGGCGGCGCCCGGGTTCTCTGAGAGCGCGGTAAATGTGCCGCGCCGTGCCGCGCGTGCGCCTTGGTGAGCGTTTTTCCTTGTTCGGCGTTTCGGCATTGGGCGGGAGGGATGGGGAAGGGAGGGTCTGGCCCCGGACCTCTGCTGAGTGCCACTGTTGGCGCCATTGCGTCCTACGGGGGAGACGCCGCATTCTTGAGACAGGCGCCAAAGAACAGCCAACAACTGCTCCGTGGGGTAGGGGGGGGTGCGAGGGCCCGCGCCGATCGGCAAAACAATGAATAAGAAAACGATCCCATGATGTGCCTGCGTGCCGTTCCATCCACGTGCCGTCCCCGTGCCGCGCCTAACTTTCAGACGCCATGCGCCTGCTCGTGCAGCGTTGCTGTTTAGGTTCCCCGTGCCAGCGCAGCCACATGCTCCTTGTTTACACCCCTCCTCACTCGACCAGCCGCCGACCAGGAGCATTGCGGACCCCTCCCACGCACAATCCACATCGCATGGCAAGAAGAAGCCTACATGGCGGCGAACGCTTAGCGCGAGCAGGCGCCACGCGAGCTTTTGCAAGGGATGGTGGTGGCGTCGCCAAATCGTCGGAAGTGTACTGCAGCAGGCCCTGGCGCTCGCGCGCTCTGCACGCGCTGCGCACCTGGTACTGCGTGGCGCATCGCACCAGGCGCGCCTGGCACGCCTGAGCCCCTGGGACGCCTTGCGCACCGGATCCGCGCGGTGCACCCGGCACGCGCGGGGCACCTCGCGAGCGTCGCGCACGTGGCGCCTGTGTTGGTTCCCGGTGGTGCTCATCCGATGGCGACCTCTGCATTTGCCCGGTCTCGGGTGCTGCCTACGCGGTGGGGGCGGGCGAGACGGCTTGCGGCGTTGACGTGGGCAGCTAGATCACTGCTCCTTTTTAAAGATCTACCCCCTCCCCCATCTCCACGGGCCCCTCACCGGGGCCGCTGCCGACCTCCCCCACCATCCCCGCCAAAGCACAACCAAGAGTACACACTGCATCGAGATCTGGATCATGCTCGGACGCCCCGCGATCACTTTGTAGTATTCTTGACAAGGACGATAGGGGGTTAGCATATTGCCCCCACGCGCGCAGGCCTACCATCCCTGTCACAAACCGAGCGCACCTTTCGGGCGTCGGGCACCTGGCAGTGATTCCCGACGGTTGTCCCTCGCGGCCACTGCCACTGCTGAGACTCGGACGCGAGTCATGTGGCGAGAGGGCGGGTTGGGAGTGAGCCCCAACAAGCCTCAAGGGGGGGAGAGGGCCCCAACAAGCCTCAAGGGGCCCTCAAGAGGCCCTAGAGAGGCCCCAAGAGGCCCCAAAACGGCCCCCAAAAGGCGTCCAAGCTGACTCCAGGAGGCTCCCGAAGAGGACCCCCACGAGATCCCAACGAACATCCAGTAGGCTTCATACCAACAACCCAGGCACGGTGGCGGGAAGGGTCGACGGCCATTCGATAGCTCAAGATGGGTCAAGACATCATCAAACATACCACTAGGAGTCCCCAACACAGCTCGAAGACACTTCCAAGTGGTATCGATGCTTCAAAAGATCGCCCCCGAGTCGACACAGTCATTCAAAAACCGATTGTGTTTCAATGTTTTTGCCTTCTCGCCTTCAAGCCTCGGATGGGCCTTGAGGCCTCAAGGTGGCTCCAAGGTCGCCCAAGGGAGCCCCCTACGAGCGGCCAGGGAAGGCTCCTAGACAGCCGTCCAAGTGCACCCGACCCAAGGCGCCCCAAGAACGCCCCAAGAGGCGAACTATCTGGCTCCGATGGGGGTCCAGTAGCCCAGGCGCCGAAGGTCGCCCGACTTCGCGCCTCGCGCCTCGCGATGCGCGGCGCGCGACCGTCTTCGCGACCTCGCGCCGCCCCCTTGGACGAATTTTGTGTGTGTACCTCCCCGTGTATGAGATCACTGGCTCTCAGTGGTGATTTGTACACTGCCACCCTCCCCCGAGGCCAGGGACAGCCCAGCGGAGAGCGTCTGTGCATATCTTATGTGAGGGAACATCGATCCTACGACCCCCACCCGGGCCGAAAAACTGGCACGCTCTCACGCTCTTCGAGCCGCGCGCGTCCAGCCGTGGCGACGGGAGACGCTCCTGCCTCCCCCCCCCGCCTGCTGGCCAAAACCACTGTTGGACCACCCCGGCCCACCGGCCAGCTCCCGAGCCCAGACACGAGGGGCAACGTCAGGGGAGGACCGACTGTAAGGGCGGGGGACATCGAGCTCGAATCGGCGACGCATCGCCGGCTGATCGGCGGCAAGCACCCGATAGCGAGTACGCACATTCCTGGGCGGGGTGGGGCATCGGGCCCCTGTCGGCGATGCATGGGCGACTGGGGCCGACGCATCCCCCCCGAGCCTGCGGCAGGTGCGCGTCGTGTCGACCCCGGCGTTGGTTCCTGACACCGCGGGGATCGTTCAAACTTGAACGATCAGCCCTTTCAAAAAGGCCAGAACCGTTCAAGGATGGGCCGATTCTGGGCCACAGGTGGCGCTCAACCTTAGACGCCCGCGCTGGGGTCGCCGCCGGTGGACACGACGCGAACCTGCCGTCCCCCCGCCTGGCCCAGACCCCCAGCGTCGCGATTTGTTCATCACGTCGACCCCCAGAGGTCACGACGTATATTCCCTGGCACCAGCTGTTTATCCCGAGTCGTCTCTTGACGGCCCAGGGGCCGGGTAAGGGCCCCCATTGTGTATGGGGTTGAAGTACAAGGGTACAGAACCCCTGATCCGCTGGTAGAGGGAAGGAGGGAAAGATGGATATATTTTCCTCCTGCACGATCAAAGGTCTGATCGATCTATCCCAATACCTGAGCCCAAACGGCCAGGCGCAGGAGAGGTGAGGATAAGGAGTATATATGAGGGTATTACACGGGTTCTATTCACACACCCCGTCCCGAATCCCGCCCGTCAGGGTAGGACTCGGGAACAGAGGAAAAGATCCCGTCACCCTTTTACTCCTCCAATCCTCAATTCTGTCAGGCAGCTGAGCACAAGATCTGTATAGCTTCAGCTGCGTCCCAATCGCGATAGCGCTCACGATTAGGCAAGGTAAGGTAAGAAGGAACACCCAGGGTCCCTGTTTCTTCGCCAAGCACGCTTTGGTGCCCCCTCGGTGCGCCCCCCAAAACGCTTCGGCACTCGAGGGCGGAGAAGAATGAGACACGGGTGGGCGGAGAAAGAGGATCTGAGCCAGTTAAAGCAACATCAGAAGCTGCCGCGCCTAAGCGGGGCAGGTGTTGCCACCAGCTCTCGGTCGAGAGCTGGGCATCAGATCATTCTCAACGCAATGTAAGCAAAGTCTAAAGAGTAAACGATAAAAAATGTATTCGGAGGTCGTGCTGATGAACACGATCGTGTTAGAAACACGTCTAAATATCAAAGCAAAATGTCTGGCCA